AATATTTCAATAAACATTCCACTGCATTTGCCCTACATTCATGAAATTGTTTCAGTTTATGCATCTTACAAGTTAAATTTTCAAAATCAACTGGTAAATGAAATGCACATTTAAAATCTTTATGAGTTAAAATTTAAAATATCTATTTTCTAATGTGTTCATCAAAGTTGTGTATTCAAACTTTGTTTGGCAGTTTAGTTGGATTTTCTTACCTGTTCCTCTTTTCCATTTTAAGTTTAAAGAAAAATTGATTTATTTGGAATGTAAGAGTATGTGGGTGTGGTGTGGGGGTGGTTAAGCGAGTACACAGAAATGCAGGGTAGCACAGAGAGCACTTGTCAAGAGAGAAGTAGATTACAGCCGTAACTTGCAGACTGGCTGGAGAATATCAACAGAGGTGTAGACATGGGGATACTTGATATGCTTTTCAGGATTGCAGGCTAACGAATTTCAGGTGACTGGAAGATTAACGTAGGAGAACCATAGAGGAAAGACTCTTCTACAGGAAAATCCAGTAGGTTTTCTGAAACTAAGAAATTGTGTTGTTTGTTTGCTTTCATCAAGAAGCAGCATAGTAAAAGCAGCATTTTATAATTGATTTAATAGAAAGAATATAATTGTCTCCTCAAACTTAAATAAATCAGGCTTACATGGCTCACAGAAATAAGGTGAATCTTTACCAATAATCGCAAGAGTATAAATTATCAAGATTTCAGAAAAAGCAGGTTGAAGTCCAAGACATTGAGGAGAGCTCCCTATAGTCCTTCCATCTTGCCCAACACATGTTTCCTGGCATAGACTCGATGAGGTCTCCAAATGAAACAAATGGGTTATTACCACATACAAGAGAACATTTAGTCTATAAAATATCTCCATTTCATACACCAGCTTATATGACATTTTCCAAACAACTATGTCTCATAACTTTATAGATTCTGTATTTATTTACTATAAGCAATCNTGTTTGTGTGTGTGCACATGTGTGCACTTCTTATAGTTACATCACAAATACATATATACTATACATACTAACAAGCAATGTTTTTCTTTAACAGTGTAATGGGGCATCTTTTAACCCAAATAATTACAGATCTATCATACATTTCAAAAGCTGCATTAAATTTAAGTTTTTGAATGACAATATATTCAGTTACACCCGCTTGATTTATATTTAAGGCATTTTTAATTTAATATTATTGTAAAAATATTTCAATAAACATTCCACTGCATTTGCCCTACATTCATGAAATTGTTTCAGTTTATGNCAGCAGCATATATATCATACAATGTAACTACAACATAATAGTGAGAAGAAATGGGTTTTGCTAAATTAAGGACAAAATGTAACAAAGAAATTCATTTTTTGTCATTATGAGAAACGAAACATACTAAAGTTCTAAATGTTCTAATGTTCCAAAAATTTTAGAAGCTAAGAGAATATATAGTTAGACAGTAACAGTCCCAGAAAACACTTTTTCAGCAAATTATTGCAGAAAGCCACTGGAGAGAGATATTGGTGCATATTTTCAAGCCTGTATTTTGTGTGTGTGTGTGCAAGCCTGTGTCTTGTGTGTGTGTGTGNGACAGTTAATATGACTGCAATATAGAAGAGTTTATAACTACTGAATTGTGTAAGGATGGGATATCAACTATTTTAGGGTGTTAGCTGTAGAGAGCAGAGGCAAATAAATATCTTCTCTCCTTAAAGAGATGTTCTATAACCCTTTTTAAAAACAAAACAAACAAAAAGTTTCTCCTGAAATAAAACATTGGCAATGAAATTCAATCTCCATCAATTTTTAGACAGGAGTTTTATATTCTGTCCAAAATAAATGGTCAGGAAAGACAAATATGCATATACAATTATATTAGTTGTGTAACAATGTGAATTAAAACAGGATATAAGAGTTGTCAAATATGTAAAAGTTAACATTGACAATTTTTCAGCAATTCACAGGTTCTCTTCAACAAACTAATTTGGCTCAGACATACTTATTTGACTGCAAACAAGATGTACTGATTCCACATTTCCAAACATTGGTTTGAAAGCTAACTTAAGGTATGAAGGAGGAGTTGGAAAATGAAGAATCTAAATATTTGTTTGAAAATAAAAAAATAAAATAAATCACCTCCAAGGAGAAATCAGTTTTACCTGTTGCCAACAGCAGTCAAGCAGACTTTTTCAAAATTTTTTTTTTAAAAAAGTTTTTTTCCAACTGGAGTTTAATAACATCATTTGGACTTAGGCTATTATTGCTGCAGGTACTTTGATTTCTCTTCTGCATTATAATTACCATGAAAGGAAATGGGAGGTGGTAAAGTACTATTCTGTCTAATTTCCTTTGCTTTTCTTCTTCAGAACTTATTTTTTACCTTTAAACCTTTGCTCCACATATTTTATTTGTGTTACTGCACAAGCTGTGGGTCATAATAAGCAGCATTTTAGCACCATTCTGTTCTTTACTCATGGCGGATAAATCACAGCAAAGTTGCTAACACCTTGTGACTGATAATCTTCCTTGATAGACAATTCGTGATCCTTTCAGCCTTTTACTAATAAGCTCATTAGCCAAGAATAGCTAGAAATCTTTTCTGGGATCTAGCAATGAACCACAGCAAATTCAATGCATGTCTGACCACTCAAACTTTAGAGAATCAATCTTCCCTCAATCAAAACTTTGTCAAGTCCTGCTGAATATCTGCTGAAGGTTACTGATTTTTTTTTTTTAATAAATCTTTG